TTTTGGACCTTAAACCTGTTTTTTGTAGCTTTTAAAGCTGTTTTTGCAGCTTTTAAACCTGGTTTTGGACCTTAAACCTGTGTTTGGACCTTATGTTTATGTTTATGTTTCTGCATTTGGCAGACGCTTTTATCCAAAGCGACTTACAGAGTAGACACAATATTACATTTCTCATCACAATGACAATAAACTATATAGAACAGAAACACTGATCAGAGTCAGTGGTTTTGGACCTTAAACCTGTATTTGGACCCTAAACCTGTTTTTGTAGCTTTTAAAGCTGGTTTTGGACCCTAAACCTGTATTTGGACCCTAAACCTGTGTTTTGGACCTTAAACCTGTGTTTTTGGACCCTAAACCTGTGTTTTTGGACCCTAAACCTGTGTTTGGACCCTAAACCTGTATTTGGGCCCTAAACCTGTATTTGGGCCCTAAACCTGTGCTTTTGGACCCTAAACCTGTATTTGGACCCTAAACCCCCCCCCCCCAAGCCGCCCCTGCTGGCCATGGCCCACGTCCACCGGCGGACTCCGTCCCCGGCGCTCATCTTCACCTCCGCCGTGTCTCTGCTGGTTCTGGTCCCCGGGGACTTCCAGACCATCGTCAACTTCTTCAGGTGGGGATTTCCGGGTTTCACTCTGAATCCCAACTAAATCCAAACATGCATCATCATAACCGCTTATCCCCTTATGGGGTCGGGGGGGCTGGAGCCTATTAGACGGTTTTGTGGCTTTTTAAGCTGTTTTTTGGGCCTTAAAGCTGCTTTTGGGGTTTTTAAGCTGTGTTTTGGGGCTTTTAAAGCTGTTTTTTGGGCTTTAAAGCTGTTTTTTGGGGGCTTTAGAGCTGTTTTGGGGGCCTTTTAAAGCTTTTTTTGGGGCTTTAAAACTGTGTTTTGGGGGATTTAAAGCTGTTTTTGGGCCTTTTAAAGCTGTTTTTTGGGCTATAAAGCTGTTTCGGGGGGCCTTTTAAAGCTGTATTTTGGGCTTTAAAGCTGTTTTTGGGCCTTAAAGCTGTTTTTGGGGTCTTTTAAAACTGTTTTTGGGGGCATTTTAAAGCTGTTTTTGGGGCCTTTTAAAGCTGTTTTTGGGCCTTAAAGCTGTTTTTTGGGGCCTTTTAAAGCTGTTTTTTGGGCTTTAAATTGTTTTTTTGGGTCTTTAAAGCAGTTTTTTGGGGCTTTTATTTTTCTGTTTCTGCATTTAGAGGCTTTTCTCCAAAGCGACTCCAAAAGCAGACCCAATATTCCAGTTCTGGTAGCTTCTTCCTCCATCTTAAAACAGTTTTTGGGGCTTTTAAAGTCCAACCCAGAACCCTCTGGCGGAAAGGTCCTGGTTCCCCACAAATTGACACTCCTAATTAGCCAATTAGAACGCAATTTACTGAGATGAAGTCAAAATCCGTCCTTATAATTTACCCCAATTCTCACAGAACCGATCTAGAAAAATGTTTCAACTTTTTTGGTTTGACCAACTGAACGTTTGTTCCTCAGACACATAAAGCTGATATATCATCATCATAACGGTCAATCTTGATGCTGTTCTGCCCCATAAAGTGAATAAGTAAGTATTTGAGCCCTTGCTGATTTTGCAGGTTTGCCCACTTACAAAGAATGCAACGATCTATAACTTTAATCATATGTACATTCTAACAGTGAAAGACAGAATCCCAAAGAAAATTCCAGAAAATCACATCATATGAATTTATAAAAATTGATAACTCTCTGATGAGGAAAAATAAGCATTCTTTGTAAGTGGGCAAACCTGCAAAATCAGCAAGGGGTCAAATACTTATTTCCCCCACTGTATTTAGTATCTCATAAAAGATAGGAAACTAAGTGTTTGATCCACACTGTTTCCTTTAAATCAGTTGTTTTTTGTTGTTTTTTTAAATCTCCTTTTATCAAACACAGAACAGAGTTACATTTTTGGCTCAAGATATAGATTTTGGTGGAATTTATAAAAATTGATAACCATCTGATGAGGAAAAAATAAGCATTCTTTGTAAGTGGGCAAACCTGCAAAATCAGCAAGGGGTCAAATACTTATTTCCCCCACTGTATAAGGGGGAAAGTATGTTTCCAGCTTATTTCTGACTCTCCTCTCTGTTCCTGCCCTCAGCTTTACCGCCTGGTTTTTCTACGCCATCACTCTGTCCGGACTCATCTACCTCAAGATAAAGCATCCGGATCTCCCCCGGCCCTTCAGCGTCAGTACCCCCCCGTTCCTGTTTCCCACTGTTAGATTTGGTTCTTTAGCTGGAAACCTGAGAATAAACCAGAACAGATCAGGAGTACAAATATGACATTTATTGGTCACAAGCAGAGTAAACCGTCAGAAATCCTTCACTTTAACTGACTTTCTTCAAGATGTTTTGTGAATCAACCACAATTTTCAGAATTTAGAGGTTTAGCATGCAGAGAAATCTACTGGTTAAGCTAATTACCGCCAACTGACCCCCAAATGTTTGGAATCTACAGCAGTCTGTTTTGTTAGATTTGGTTCTTTATCTGGAAGCCTGAGAATAAACCAGAGCAGATCAAGAGTACAAATATGACATTTATTGGTCACAGTAAAGTAAATCAGGGCTCTCACAGACAAAGTTCCCGGAGGATCTCAGTCAGCCGAAATCCAGGTGTGATGGACATTTATCTTCTGGTTCTGCCCCTTAGAAAAGGAGGACTGGACCCAACTGAGTGCTATTAGCCAGCTAATTCATGCAGATTTCACTGGAAATTGTTAACAAAGTGTGTGTGTTGACCTTAAAGACGAGTATCTGCTGTAACAGAGAGAGAAAAAGAGAATCTGTGGGCTCAGACAGAGAGTTTAAGACCAGAGTTTATTCTAAAAGAAATAAGACAACCAGTCATTTACATGGATATGTGTTAGCATACGAGGCTAAAGGAGGAACTAGAGCCCAGTTTGTAACAGTAGCTAACGATTTCTGGATTTATTGTCAGCCCGATTCTTTAGCTGGAAGTCTGAAAATAAACCAGAGCAGATCAAGAGTACAAATATGACTTTTATTGGTCCCCAGCAGAGTAAAGCAGCTGGGCTCTCACAGACAAAGCTCCCGGAGGATCTCAGTCTGGAAGAGCCTGGATTTCTGGGGGTGATGGACAGTTTTCCTCTGGGCCTCCAACAGGAGGACGAGTGTTATTGGCCAGTTAGCTCTGACAGGAACAGGCCAGGTCCTAATTCATGCAGGTTTAGGTGGAATGTGAAGAGAAAGTGTGAATGTTGAGCTTGAAGACGAGTATTTACTGTAACAGAGAGAGGATAGATAGATAGATAGATAGATAGATAGATAGATAGATAGATAGATAGATAGATAGATAGATAGATAGATAGATAGATAAATACTGTAACAGAGAGAGGAGGCACAGCCAGAGAGTTTAACCCAAAAGTAGAATTATAAAGGGAATAATATGAATCTATACAGGAATAAGACAATCAGTCATTTACATGGATTAAGATATAGCATGCTATGCTAAAGTGAGTAATTATAGCCCAGTTCTAACACCATCCACCGGGGATCGCTGTCAAGTCAAATCAAACTTTATTTATATAGCACATTTAAAATAACCAAAGTTGCCAAAGTGCTGTACATAAAAAGCATGTATATGTGATTTTAATGTAAAAATAAATAAATAAATAAATAAAAAGGTTAAAAGGTGCTCTACCTCAACCTAAGGTTAAAATGTTAAAAGCCATGTTGAATAAATGGGTTTTTAAAGAGGACTTAAACTCCTCTATGGTCTGGGCAGATCTTATATTAAAAGGCTATTCCAGAGCTTTGGGACCACATTAAAGGCATATTTTTACTGTTTCCCTACTTTTACTATCAGATGTTTCTTATCTGTTGTGATTGCTGTCCTGAATTAGCAAACCGGTCATAAAGAGCTGCAATCATTATGTTTTTATGATATGAGTCCACACATGGTGGCCAATAACGCGCCGTTTTAAAGGGAAACTCACACTAAATGACTTAAACACCTCTATGGTCTGGGCAGATCTTATATTAAAAGGCTGTTCCAGAGCTTTGGGACCACACTAAAGGCTCAATCGCCTTTAGTCCTCAGCCTCGTTTTCGGGACCTCAAAGTTTTTATGGGATCATAAAAGTGCAGAAGGTCAGACAGGTACAGTGGGGGAAATAAGTATTTGACCCCTTGCTGATTTTGCAGGTTTGCCCACTTACAAAGAATGCTTATTTTTCCTCATCAGATGGTTATCACTTTTTATAAATTCATATGATGTGATTTTCTGGAATTTTCTTTGGGATTCTGTCTTTCACTGTTAGAATGTACATATGATTAAAGTTATAGATCGTTGCATTCTTTGTAAGTGGGCAAACCTGCAAAATCAGGCACGGTGGTGTGGTGGTTAGCACTGTCGCCTCCCAGCAAGAGGGTTCTGGGTTCTAGTTCCGGGGGAACCGGGACCAGAGGGTTCTGGGTTGGAGTCCCGGGGGAACCAGGACCAGAGGGTTCTGGGTTGTAGTCCCCGGGGGAACCAGGACCAGAGGGTTCTGGGTTGGAGTCCCGGGGGAACCAGGACCTTTCTGGGTGGTTCTGCATGTTCTCCTGTGTCTCTGGGTTCTCTCCGGGTTCTCCGGCTTCCTCCCACCCTCCAAAAACCTGCATGTTAGGTTGTTGGAGATTGGGGAAATTGCCCTTAGGAGTGAATGTGAGTGTGAGTGGTTGTTGGTCCTTGTGTGTCTCTGTGTGTCCCTGTGATGGACTGGGGACTGTCCAGGGGGACCCCGCCTCTCCCCATTGGCTACTGGGATAGGCTCCGCCCCCCCGCGACCCCATCAGGGAATAAGCGGTATTGATAATGGATGGATGGATGGATGGCTCAAAAACGTATTTCCCCTTCTCTACCTGTGTGTGTTTCCCTCCAGGTTCCCATCCTGGTTCCCGTGCTGGTGCTGGTGGTGGCGGTTCTCCTGGTGCTGGCGCCCATCGTGGACGAGCCCCAGATGGAGTATCTGTACGTGGGTTTGTTCGTGCTGAGCGGGGCCCTGCTCTACTTCCCTTTTGTCCACTTCAGGCTCTGCCCCGGACTCCTGAGCAGGGTCACCGTCTTCCTGCAGCTCTTCCTGCAGGTCGCCCCGGCTGAGAAGAGCCTCTGATCACAGATTTTAACATTTAAATACTTACAAAGTTAGCTTGTGTTGTGGGAATTCTGTTCAATAGTCTGAGAAAGTGTTTTTCAACCACTAGTGTGCCGTTAGTGATGGTCAGGTGTGCCGTAGAAAATCATCCTATTTCACCTCATTGGTCTAAAAAGATTTTTCAATTCAATTAAATTCAATTCAATTTTATCTATATAGCGCCACATCACAACAACAGTTGTCTCACAGCTTTCCAAACAGAGCAGGTCAGACCTACTCTGAAGTTAATTACAGAAACCCAACAATTCCCACCATGAGCAAGCACTAGGCGACACAGGCAAGGAAAAACTTCCTTTTAACAGGAAGAAACCTGGAGCAGAACCATGGCTCAGGGTGGGCGGCCATCTGCCTCGGCCGGTTGGGGGTGAGGGGAAAGAGAGAGCAAGAGAGAGAGAGAGAGAAAGAGAAGGACAGAAGGAGCATAGAGAGGCAGCCAACACAGCAACACGTAGAATAGATTAAAAATGGCAATGATATTAATGCTAATGATGAGCAGGAACACGGGGGCAGCAGGAAACTCCCAACCACAGATCCAGACTCCACAGCTCCAGAGCCAGGAATATAACTTTTTGATAAGGAATTAATTTTCTGCAAATAATATTCTATTTCTGAGTGTGTGTGCTGTTCTAGTGACTGGTGGAGTAATCATGTAATAATTCCTTATGACTAGATTTTGTATATAATTTTATATATTGAAGTTTACATGTTAAGTGCAATTTGAAAGAAGAAATATAAAATATGATAAAAATACATTTTTGTGTTTATTTGATTCCTATTCAAGACACTTAAGATAAGATAAGAATAAAATAAGAATAACTATAGTGTTACTATAG